TTTACAATATTAAAATCAAAACCAAGTGAATAATACTAATTCAACAGGAAGGAGGAAAAGCTGTAGACTTCTAACTGGGATTTCTAAAGCTTGTAAGAACCCTGATTGTTTGAATCTATGAGAAGATACTTTATTGCTCTAAAATCATCATCTCAAAAAATTTAAAGAAAATTAGCAAAGCTGGACTTGATAGCTGTGATTTCACACCATTATAAACCAGATACTATCTTTATTTTAAACCTTTTAACCACCTCAAAGGTCACTCCACTTATTTAGTTCACATCCAAAGAGCTGGTTGTACCTACTTGACGATGATGATGCTATCGCCGCAAAATCTCCAGATGAGCTAATGCTTGTGCTTGTAGCTATACTGATAGTTGTGCATATACTTGATCGAGACGGTGTCCTGACCTGAGCTAATTCAAATGGTATTTGCCGAGGGGCTGGTATAACATCTACAATCTCAACCTGAATTTCCAAAAGAAGATAACACATTTCACTAACCACATAGAGTAAGACACAAATAAAAAGAAACACAGGGAGAATCCTAAACTTTAGATATAATTTTAAACATACTTCAATCAATTGAAAAGCCAACAAAAAATCCTCATGTATATTCTTAAAAATATTGCTGTAAGGGGCTAAGCTTCAAAGACCGTGGGGGCAGTAGCCACTGGTGGATGTTCCCAGAGTTCCTGCACATGCTGATGATGCTTCAAGCAAGTGAAAGCCAAGTGTGATATGATTAATGTTTTAGGCTGACCAAATGGGATGGTGTCAGCAAGAGTTTTTTTGGCTGTAGAAAAGAATCCATTGCTGTCATTTTCCCTAAGACTGCTTGTGTTTTAGTGAAATGTTACTCTAAACCATTTGTGGATACTTATCTGGGGATCAAGCTAATTACTAACAAACTAGCCTTAAAGAGAAAGTTCTCTAAGATTAAAATACAATTTAATGGAGACGGGAGAGATGCTCAGTTCTCGAGCACACTGACTGCTCTTCCAGAGGACCTGAGTTTGATTCCCACCAACCACATGGCAGTTCATGACCATGTGGTAAAATGATTTTTGCTCTCTGTGGCAGCCCAGCATTGCAAGAGTGAACAGAATATCCCGTGGTTCAGCATTGCAAGGGTATATAAAACAGCCTACCATAAACTAAAACTGAAAATTAAAAGAATTGTTTCTACAAATAAATTTATTTTTGTGTGTGTGTCTACACATTCATATGTGTGGGTGCTTGTACACATGTGAACATACATTTGGAAGCTACACAACAACAATAGGTGTTGAGTATCTCACAGTATCCAAGCTAGACTGGCTGGACAACATACACCAGAGATCTGCCTGTCCTTGCCTTTTCAGCACTGGGATTATAAGTACACAGCACCATGCCATTAGATACACCATAATGAGGTGGGTTCTGAAGATAATTTCAAGCCATTGTCTTTGCAAGGCAAGCACTTTATGGACTGTTATCTCCTCAGACTCTTGTGATCACCCTTTTGATGATCTTCAAGAAGTAAAAAAAAAAATCCCAGACTTTGCCTGTCAAGTTAGGAATTTCCATATTTTATTCCTAATGAGTGGTATAGTTTTATAGTTCTATTTCTATAAATATCTGATCTGATTTGAATAGCATGTGAACCACTCTTCATATGATATGTGTTCGCCAGTCAAATTTTGTGCATCTATACCTAAACATTTAGTTTGTTTTTTGTTGGTGGTTGGTTTGGTTGGGCAGGGTTTGCTTAAGACATAGATCGATGGTAATTTTTCTTTTAGAAACATGTTACTTGGATCATATAAAGCATTTCAACTTCAGGAAACAGGCACAACCTGACTATTCAAGTCTTCTGTAATGTGTACTACTTAATACAATACTAGAAATATGGCAATCTTTTCATTACTTAGAAAGATATTCTGTTGAGTTGATATTAGATTGCTATTCATCTTGTTTGGTATCATTTTGTTTAAAGTTCAAGTTGAGTTTTGTCCCCCACTCTGTCTTCTATTTTGTTATTTAGTCTTCTAATTTCATCTCTCACACTTTTCTGAACAAAATGCTAGATTCAACATAAGTACTTCTTCCAATGCGAAAAGTATGGACTCTGTTGTGTTTGTGTAGAGTATGCTAGCTCAGTGCTTAACTTAACACTGGGCTACAACTCCAGTCCGGAAGCATTCTATTTACATATAAGTCACTTCTTTTGAAAAGGCATTTACTTTTCATTTCACATGTATGAATGTGTTGTTTTTGAGGTCTGTACATCATGTATGTATCTCGTACCCACAGAGATCAGAATAAGGCACCCTCTGTGGTGAGTGTATAATATCACCTAGGCTACATGCAAATGAAATGGCAGGGAAGGAAGAACAACTTCACTGAGGACCATTAGGAAATGACTGTTCTTCTATACCTCTCCTAAAGTTTTATTGTAATATTGTATTAGAGTTGAGTTTCAGATCACCTAAAGGAAGGACAGGTTCTAGATTTGATTTAATGTTTATCCCCCAATGAATTCAATTCAGTAAACAATGAAGAATGAATCATAAAAATGAGATGTCTTAAGGAAAGGATAGGAACAAAGCTAATCTTGCACTGCCCACAGTGGGATGTGTAATATTGTCTGAAGTTTCCTCATAGAACCCAGTGTAGAAAACAGATCCATAGACTCCCCTACCGTGTGTGTGTGTGTGTGTGTGTGTGTGTGTGTGTGTGTGTGTGATTGACACTGGGTGTTATGTTCTATTATGACTCTTATTCCTTTGAGCAAAAACTTCCTGTTGAACCTAGGCCTAGATCTGGGACTCAACAAATTCTCTTGTCTCCACGCTCTACAGCAGTGGTTCTCAAACTGTGGGACACAACCCCTTTGGCAAACATCTACCACCCAAAAACATTACATTATGATTCATAACAGTATCAAAATTACAGTTATGAAGTAGCAATGAAAATTTTATGATTGGAGGTCACCACAACATGAGGAACTAAATTAAACAGTCGCAACATTAGGAAGGTCAAGAATCACTGCTCTATGGTGTGAGGGTTATAAGTGTGAGCAGTTACTCCCAGATTTTTATATAGGTGCTGGGGATTTGAATTTGAGTCTTCATGCTCACACAGGAATTTCTATTACCCACTGAGCATCTCCCCATGCTTTGATAAACTTTTCTGAGACAAGGTCTCACTTTTTAGGCCACTCTATAGCAGCCATACTACCCCCTCGGTGCCCCAAGTTTTAGCATTACAGGCATAAACAAGATGCCCAACTTTCGAGCCTTCTTTAGGAAATACAAAAAGAAACACTTTAGATGAAATCTGGAAAGGAGTTAGCTTGAGGTTTTTTTTTTTTTTTCGTTATCACAGGGACTGCTCTAAGCATGACCGACATTTCCAGTAAGAAAAAAAGGCATACTATAGGACACTGCCATGTTCACAATACAGTTACCGAAATGAAAGTCTTTCTATGTTGGCAACACATATTAACTAAATAATAACATTACAGAGACAAAGGCTTAGGGGTCTACTCAATGGCTCTCAATCTACATACATCAGAGCTTGATTCAGGACTTTCCATATTCAAATTTTCAGCCTTGCACTTCCCTTGAATTTTCTTCCTCTTGCATCGTTTTTGAAGCCTTAATAAAGTCGTAAAGAAATGACTATTAAAATTTGTTTTGTGTACTGGCCTGGAAGCTTCCTCTCTGACTAGCTTTTATAGTACTGGAAGTGGGTATAGGCTGATGGAGGAAAAATGGGTGGGGGAGTTATCAACAGTCTTGACAGCTGTGAATACTGTGATCAACAATAATGACTGGTATGGAAAGATATACCCATGTTTGCAAAAGTGGCATGAATGTTATGGGGACAGCCAATCAATTTTTAAATGAATTGAAGGCCACACTTGCTGTAGGAAATCCTTCAGCCAGTAGCCTTTAAGTTACCAGCACACTTGGGCGTGGCCTCTTATACTATAAATGCCACTGTAAAGCATGCCCGCACATTTTCTCTCTTCCGGCTGCTGGATTCAATTGCTATTTTCTATTCTTGCAGAGGACTGTGATCTGTGAGTCTGCTCCTAATTTAAAAACCCTTTATTATACTCAATTTTGAGCTAGTGTTAGATTTTGTTTTAGCATCCATCTCCACACACTACAGGAGAAAAATACAAGTCTATAAATCTGACCAAGGCTAGGGAGCTCACCAGGTCCAAAGGTGAATCTACTTGCCATTGTTTTGCTAAAGGAATATAGTATAAATCTACCCTCTAATGTCTTATCTTTATGCCCATGGCTTAGTATAGCACTCAGAACTCATTAAAGAAGTCTCTTTGTGCAGTATTCAGTGGTTAACATAGAAACTCACAGCTCATCAAAGTACAGAGAATGAGTGTTACTGGAGTATTTAGTCTACATAGTACATCTATATGACCCTCTGCCACACAAGGTTTAAGAACTATTGCAGAAGGTATGACAAAAAAGACTAAGAAACAGAAATCAAGGAGAAAACAGTGTCACCTTGATCACGACAGGATCATTGCATACATGAACTTATGGTAGTGGTATAGCCTGCATGAGACCTACATGTTATCAGGCCAGTCAATATCCCAGCATGGAGTGGGAAAGGACTAAAAAACTTTTATTCCTAACTTGGGGAGCTTTTGACAGTTGGTGGCTTCTGGGGAAGGAAGCATCCATTGGTAGGTTGATCAAGTTTTAGTGGATGGCCACAAATCCATGAGTATGCAGCCAGCACAAATCAGACTCAGTGGAATATATAAAACAAAAGAGGCCATGAAGTTGGGAGAGGGAGGGGTAGAATGTGAGGGAATGGATCTAGGAAGAGTTAGGAAGAGAAGTTGGGGGTAAATATTATCTAAGTACATTGTGTGAAATTCTCAAAAATTAATAAGAATATTATAACAAAATCTATTTTATATTAATGATAGCTAAGTATGGAAATGTCATAATGTAAACCCTACTACTTTGTATACCTAACTTTAAAATGTACTGTATCTTAGGATTAGAGGTGTGATTCAGTGGAAGAACACTGGGCCAGCATGTATAAAATCCTGGTTAACCTTACTATTGTAAAACACACAAACACAAAAGGCAGCGTTTTGTTTGATAGGCCAAACAACAGAAAAATCTCACCACTTTAAAATATGAGAAACATATTAAGCAAAACAATAAAAACAAAAACCAAGATATCCTAAGAGAAAATGTGGTAAATGACTGCTGGGAACTGCCGAGGTCATTCTGAGGAGATAATAGAGAAAAGGCAAGTTAATAAGTTAATGCATCATTTGAATATATGATTTGAACATGAAATGTTCAATATTTACTCTTTCTCATTTTATTTCTAGTGTGAAAGAATTTAAACATAAACAAATTCATGCATTATTTACAATACCTAAATACTTGAAGTATGAATAATAAAAACTCAGTGACAGAAATTGGGGTTCAACCTGAAGGTCAGAAAAGCAAAACAGTCAGTCACTGGTTCTTACCTCTCCCTCAGTCTGAAATGGTGTTCCTGCCTTCAGAATGAGACTGAGAGCTGTCTCCTCCAGATTTATAATTTTCTCTAGTGCTGGGATTAAGAACGTGCAACACTACTGCCTGGTTTCTATGGCAAGTTAGTGTGGTTACTGGGATTAAAGGTGTGTGTCACCACTGTCTGGTCTATAAGGCTGGCCAGCATGGCTGTTTTAGTTTCCTGATCCTCAGACAAGCTTTATTTATTAAAATACAAATGAAATATCACTACGAATACTTAAAGAAAATCCCAAGACAACAAACATAGACACACACATATGTATGTTTATACATATATACATATATATGTATGTTTATACATGTATATATATGTATAAACATACATATGTATGTTTACATACATACATATATACACATACGTATATATGTATACATATATACACACATGTATATATTGATTTTGGGGGGAGGAAGGATCTCAAGTATTTCAGACTAGCCTTAAACTCAGTATGTTACCAAAGATGACCTTAAAATTCTGATCTAGGGACTGGAGGGATGACTCAACAGTTAAGAACACTGGTTGCTTTTCCAGAGGACCTGGGTTCAATTCCCAGCACCCACATGACAAGCCACGATTGTCTGTAACTCCAGTTCCGGCATATCTCACAATCCCTTCTGGACTCCATGGGTATTGCATACATGTGGTACACAGACTTACATGCAGGCAAAACACAGACACATAATTTTTAAAAATTGGTCTGCCTGCCACCACCTCTTGAGTCTAATATTACAGGCATGTACTATTAACTACTCTATGCTTATGCTAGGCGAGCACTCTATGAACTGAGCTACATTCCCAGCTCCAGGGAAAGGATTTTTAGATCAAATTTGAATTTCATACAATTCAATTAAATCTTTTAATTCAATTATTTCTGGCAGATTCATATCATAAAATGACTGGAATAATTTTAGTTCCCTTGAGGTTTTTTGATCCTTTTGCATTTATATATTTATGTATATGCTAGTGACTGAACTCAGGGCTTTGTAGTTGCTGGGCAAAACACTAAGATAAATCTCCAACCCAAGAGAGTTTAAGAACATTTTGTATCTCAAAAAAAAATTATATTGTTCTAACAATCCTTCCTCTCTGTCCCCATCCGCATACAATACCTGGCCAGAGGCAACTACTAATCCACTTTCAGTCAGGAGAGGAATTCAAAAGTCTGTCTTGGTGGGCTTCGGGAGCTTCAGGTTGCAAGTCCAACAGACAACTGTACTAGACCCAGACTCCTCCTTCCCCTCATTTTAAACCAACCATTGAAGACTGAAAAATTCACGTCATCCCCAACTTTTTCTCAACCCAGTGCCCTGGCTGCAGAATATTGTTATCCATCTGTCCCCAACTGTGATTTTTTAAGGTAGTAAGTAGGCTTTTCTTAAAAACTTAAGGCAACTTTTTTGTCTTCGAATTGTCTTGCATGCTGTACATGGTGGCACATGCCTTTAACCCCAGCTGTTGGGAGGCAGAGGCAAGAGAGTCTCTGTGAGTTCCAGGTCAGCCTGGTCTACAAGAGTGAGTTTCAGGACAGCAAGGATAATTCTGAGCTACTGCTTCTCCTTACTCTATATCCCAAATGCTACCATGTCTACTTTCAATATTCCCATTAAAAACTATTTATTCATTTTGTGTATGTATGCATGTGTTCATTCACATATATCATTTGTGAGACAGACTGAGGAAAACTTTAAAGAACTAGGCCTCTCTTTCTACCAAGTGGGTCCTAGGAATTGGGCTCACATCCTCAGATGTATATTGTATGGTTTTTTTTCTGTCAGTTTTCTAGGACCATTATTGGATCAATCTAGAAAATAATGCAACAGACACTGGTTACATGATTACTTACATATGTTAAAATACACAGATCTGGAAGCTTGAAGTGGTGGTGTATACAAATGCACACACAAATATAAGATAGATAGATAGATAGATAGATAGATAGATAGATAGATAGATAGATAGATAGATAGATGATAGGTAGATAGAAATAGGCAAGAAAAACTGCACTTTTCAAGAAAATTAAAATATTTTAAAAATTAAAAATAAAAAGGCAATCATTTGTATTCTGTTTGAAAACTATGAATTATATTAAATAATAAGGTAGATTCACACCAACAAAATGGTCATTTTAGATTCATTAAAATCTAAGGACCCTTTTTTTTTTACCAAATAAAACCAAACAATAAAAAAAAGTCGTTTTCAGCTCTGTATTACTTACAGCCATGATACCTCTTACCTTTGGCACTGTGTATTATTGTCATCATCTGAATCAATAACTGTAACAGGAGGTTGAATTGCAGCAGGTTGTTCCTGAAGAAAAATGAGCATATTGGTTTCCGTTGTTGCTGTCATCATTTTAGCATCTCTGAGAGTCAAATTTACAGCCTTGTACAGAGTAGAGTTATACCTTCTCCCAGCCTCTTAATTGGCACTTAAATGCATTGTATACTAAAAATGACCTGAAACTTGTGGCATACCTTACATATTCAAGTGAAAACTGATCCGTATATAAGTGTGAGGAAAACAGTGAGTCTAGAGATATGAAAACAAGGTATACATATACAATGGTTCAGCCTAACAGTAGTAGATCTAGGAGAGGAATTTCACCTTGACTCAAGTTCACTGCTCACTATTTTATACCATCATACTCTAAAGACTTTTCTGACGACTATCCCTCTCTTATCTTGAGATATGTTTTCCAAAATATCCCCCAATACTGAAACAATATCATAGAAGCCCAGAGAGAAAAACTTGAGGAAATCACAAAAAGACTTCCTGGTGTTGTGCTAAGGAGACTAGTGGGATATGGGTGAGCCAAGAAAGATTTTTTTTCTCTTTCTCAGAAGAGCAAGTAGATCTTGGGGCTGAGTTCTACATCTTAGAAGTCTACGTTTTCATTGCAAATGATGGAATTCAGGTCCCAGAGAGTGAGTAAAAAGGAAGAATGAATGAGGCAATCAAATCAGACCAACTTCCTTCAGTTTTCCCCTCTCTAACACTTTCCTTACTGTCTTCAACAAAGAGAAGTGGTTTATTGTACAGTTGAATGTAGGAATGATCTACTGTGCCATCACAGTAGGAACATGGCCCACAGGCCAAATAGAGCTCCTCCTCTGGAGTTAATACTGCCCAGTCTACAGTGTTCTGGTCCTGCCTGTATCTGCTGATAGTACCTCCATTCATTGCAAATCCTAGAATTTACATTCCTGTGACTTCAATCAGTCCAGACCTGCCATTCATATCTGGGTAGCTCCATTAGTGTTTCTTATGTTTTGTTATCCACCTATAAAGCGGCCTGGTTATTCCAGTCCAGATCATAGTATTCCTCTGCTTGTCAGTGTACTTATAGTATAAATTTCATATGCATTACTAATGTAGCAAAGTTCTGTATACGATCTGTTCCCTGCCTGCCTCCACTATCCCCTGACGTCTTATCTGAGCCACATAAGCAGTTTGTTCCTTCAAACTCTCCAAACTATGGTCAAGGCACTCTCTGCCCAGATTGCCTTTGTTATTGTTCTTGGAATCCTATACTCCAAACACAAATCATCAGAAAGAGATACCTATCAACTCTCACCCCTCTAACATTTGTCATCAATGCTTTCTTTATTGCCTGCCCATATGTATTTCCCTGGCACTTATCACAATATCTGGGACATTAGAACTATCCCAAGTTATTGAAAGAATAAACTAAAGGAATTTTAATCTATCATTTGGATTCTAAAAACTAGCTTTTCCTTTGATAGGTAAAAAGCCTTGACAATCAACTACCTAAGGAAAAAACAGAGTTGTTGTTACAGGGAAATTCACTTCCTAACAGAAAAATACAACTTATTTTTTCTCTAGTGAATACCGAGTGCTTGTGCACTGATGTCCAAAGGCTGAAAGTGAAAATGATGTGTCCTTCATAGTGGGATAAACATACAGCATACTCACTGATTCAGCTCTTGTGCGAAGAACTGAAATGGTTCCCACGAGATAATACTGTTGCTCCCTTAACAGCTTTGGAGTTGATGACCAAAAGTTTCTGCTACTATGGCCACAGTTTCCAAAAATTACAAATGACTCTAAGGGGGATAGACACAATGGCGATTAAATTAAAAGATATACTAAATAAGCAAGGAGGCTGACAACTGCCATATCACAATGCTGTTTACCATCCCATAGGCATTTTCAAGATTCTGAGCCTTGGGATTCTCCTTGTCTTCCTTCTCTTCCAGCCCAGTTTCCCAGATGGTCACCACCAAAATATGAGGCAGTCAACTGAAAATCAAATGTGAATTTTTACTGATATCAGTCTTTGGCTGTTGCCCTATGAATTGTTGTGGTAGTCTCTAAAGAAGTGTGTGTGTGAGTGTGTCTGTGTGTGAGCATGCGTGTGTGTAAATGTACATACATCTGTCCAAGTGTTTTGAAATGATATTTCCTTTAACTTCCAAGAAACATGAGAAATAGTTTAACAAGCATTTGGGAACTGGAAGCACAAAGTATATCTTACCTCTGATTACCTCAGATGTTTTATGGCTCTGAAGCAGTTATTTTAATTTTGTATACTGATTTCTCACATTGAACTTCCTTAAACCTCAAAAATTACACAAGACCCCACAGTATACATGAGATAAATGTAGAAATAGAATAATTTTTATCTATTAAAAATTTTAGAGAGAGGACAAACTTCCTTCCCCAGGTTAGTGTATAGAACTTTAGTGTCTATATTTTATATATTTGTCCTTGATAGAATGTTTGAATTCTAGACCCTAGTTAATCCAATCTGTGGCATGATTTGCAAACTACAAAATTTATTTTTAAATTTAGGTATTCATGGAGTTCCCTTAAACTTGGCAGTGCATTAACCATTTTTGATAAAATTTTAAATGTTATTTTCTTTTATAAGGGGAGACAGCCGTCCTTTACCAATGTAACCCACCATGTTTCTATGTGGGCCCACCTTATAAATTTCCCTATTACTTTTTTAATGTCTAATAGGTGTAGCCAGAAATTGTGTGAGTGTAGGGGTATCAGAGATTCTGTAAATACCAATAATACAATAACATGTATCCTAGCAATCAGGAATCTATCACTCCTGAACATCATTAAAGAACATGAGCTGAGTTGCTTACCATCATAAGAATCTTGCAAGTACAAGACAAATTTCACATACTCGTATGAGTCCCTCCGGTCGTACATGTCCACATAAGTATATGCATCCTTGGCAAACAGGCCTGCATTTCTTTTTTTTATATAACAGCAAAATTCAATAAGACTTCCAACTAAAGCGAGCAAGAAACAAAGTATTATGTTCATATGGATTATTTCAGAAATGAAAGTCTTCTTTAGTCAAAACAACATTTTTTAGAGGGTGGGAGTTTCTCCATGTAGCCCTGTGTGTCCTAGAACTTGCTCTGTAGACCAGGATGGCCTCAAATTCACAGAGCTCTGCCTGCCTCTGCCTCCCGAATGATGGGATTAAAAGAGTGCCCCACCACACCTGGCTCAAGAAAGCATTTTAAAAAATACAACTTTCTTTCCTTGAATACTGGTACTCACAGAGCTAACATCTGTAGAATAAGGTACTAGGCAGAATAAAAACACTGCTATTTATATAGCACTACCATGACTAGAGAAATAAGGCTGTAATTTGGGAATAGGGTAAAGAACAAGACAGGGTTGGGGATGATTTTTCAGTAAAGTATTTTTATTGATTCTTTGAGAATTTCATATATGCATGTGCCATATTTTGGTCACATTCATATCCCACTCTTCCCTGCTCCCCCATGATCCAGTTCCACCTCCCCACTCAGTCCTTCCCATCTTTGTGTCCAAAAAGATCACACAATTCCATATACTTCTGAATGTGAAGCATCCACCAGAGAAGTGGTTCTTAACCTGTGACTCACAACTTCTTTGAGGGACAAGTGACCCTTTCACAGAGTTCACCTAAGACCATTGCAAAGCATAGCTATTTACATTACAATTCATAATAGTAGCAAACTTGGAGTTAAGAAGTCACAAGGAAAATAATTTTATGGTTGGGGTCACCACATCATGAGCAACTCTATTGATGGATTACAGCATTAGGAAGGTGAGAACCACTGATCTAGATCATGGTTAGCCTTCCAGGGCCCACATCCTTAAAGAAACCCACTTATCTCTCCCATCATCCATCAACTGTCACAAGTTTCTAAGCTGAGGGTGAGGACCCATGAGCTCCTCCCCACTCCCCCATAGAAGAGAGTTTTTTTAATGTTAGAAATGTGGTGTTTGATATTATAAGCTGTAAACATAAATGAATATATGATCAGCAGCTACAGTGACTAATGTTTTTGCAAAAATTACTAAGGGGTAAGAAAGCAATAAATTGTTCAATTGAGTGTTACTTGCCACTCAACACCCCAAAATTAAATCAAAATAAAGCAAAACCAGGTATACATACCTGATTTAGCCAATGGAAGTTTAAGAATGATCTTCTGAGCTATTTCTTCTTTTTCTTCATCAAGAAGAATATTTAATAAAGTCTTCCCCACAATGTCTTCCTGGAGAGAAGGAGAGAGAACAAATTTTGTTTTTACACTGAGGCTATAAGTCTGTCCTGTCTCCTTACTACCAGTGAATTTAGCTCTGCCCTTGTCCATTTATGGCTACAGCTGATGTGCTTCAGCCAGTTTTCATTACCATCCTGCAATTACTCCAGTCTAAAATCCATTCTGGACACAGTTTTCTTGTACAATATTTTCTGCAAACAGTTGGAGTCTTCTTTAGCCATCTCAGAGACCACAGACACTGTAATCATTACATTGTGTTCTTTTTCTCTGCGCTATGTGCTTGGAAAAATCACAGCACTTCATCCATAGTGTTGTCTCAGACCTTGATCCAAGCAAGTGAATGCGGATTGGAAACCCCCATACAGCCTTGCCTACCATTGACTGTGCACTTTCTCACATTTCAACGTGAATCCTTTCTCTTTTATGCCTTCCTCATACTTTTATAGAGATTTGTATTGGTATAGATCTTAGTTTATTGATACAAATTTAAGGTCAATCTTGTTATATGTATATTTCTGCAGTTCTGCTCTTGTTTAAGGTACTGTGATTGTGTAGTTCACTTAAAAAATGTAAGGTATAATTAAAAATATAGGTTAATAAATAACCATCTATAATAGTCAAGCTTGTAGTCATGTTAGATTTTCTAGATGTGTAGAGATATGTTTCAGTTAGATAAGTATTCTTTAAATCTTTCATAGACCTACAGAATATAGTATTTAAAAACTTAAGCCTTCTCATGACAGTGAGACACATCTGCTTCTGGCAGCACCAAGCTACTTCAAGAGTATGATGGGCATTGGAGGCTCCTTATGGAGCTGGTTGACCATTTGACAAGAAACTGCTCTTGCCTAGACTGCTTGATAAACTAGTTCTGCAGGATCTGCAGAGAAATGACTGCTAAGCTTACCTAAAGGTGAGATGATCCTTTGGGGTTGCTGTTTCAATAGAATCTGCTAGACATTCTTCAGGAAGAAAGTGACTGACAAACTGCCAAAATAGACAGAACTATCTTTGAAATTTCTTGTTTCTTGGAAAAGTCTGCTGGATACTATGGGACTGTAGGCTGAAGATGGATGCCCCAATGGTACAGAAGAACTTTGGGTGACTGTTCAGGCAGTCAATTATAGTATTTTATTACATCACAACTGCAACTGCCTCAAATCCAATATACCCCCATTCTACAAAATGTGCTACTGAAATATTCTTACAGACATTTTATATGAAGTAATTAATGTTTACAGGATTAAATATTAGCAATGATGAACATTACATGAATTATAATTTCTATGAGTGAAATACGAATAAAGTATGTCAGATATATACAAAATGTGCTAATGAGCTGGAACTAGAACTACGTGGAGTTTCAGGGTAGCCTAAACTATAGAACATACCTTATATTGGCAAAAAAGAAGGGGGGAGAGAGATTTTCCAAAAAGAGCCAAAAGAGCTTAACATTATACTACTACAAAAATGCATCTGATAATGCTAAAAAAGCATTTGACAAAATTCAACACCCATTTATGATAAAGGTGTTGGAGAGACTGGGGATACAAGGATCATACCTAAATATAATAAAAGCAATATACAGCAAGCCGACAGCTAACATCAAACTGAATGGAGAGAAACTCAAAGCCTTTCCACTAAAATCAGGAACGCGACAAGGCTGTCCACTCTCTCCATACCTCTTCAATATAGTGCTTGAAGTTCTAGCAATAGCAATAAGACAACATAAGGAGATCAAGGGGATTCGTATTGGAAAGGATGAAGTTAAACTTTCGTTATTTGCTGACGATATGATAGTTTACATAAGTGACCCCAAAAACTCTACCAAAGAACTCCTACAGCTGATAAACACCTTTAGTAACGTGGCAGGATACAAGATCAACTCCAAAAAATCAGTGGCCCTCCTATACACAAAGGATAAAGAAGCAGAGAGGGATATCAGAGAAGCATCACCTTTCATGACAGCCACAAATAGCATAAAATATCTTGGGGTTACTCTAACCAAGGAAGTGAAAGACCTATTTGACAAAAATTTTAAGTCTTTGAAGAAAGAAATTGAGGAGGATACCAGAAAATGGAAAGACCTCCCCTGCTCTTGGATTGGGAGAATCAACATAGTAAAAATGGCAATTCTACCAAAAGCAATCTATAGATTCAATGCAATCCCCATCAAAATCCCATCAAACTTCTTCACAGACCTTGAGAGAACAATAATCAAGTTTATATGGCAAAACAAAAAACCCAGGATAGCCAAAACAATCTTATACAATAAAAGAACTTCTGGAGGCATTACCATCCCTGACTTCAAACTCTATTATAGAGCTACAGTATTGAAAACAGCTTGGTATTGGCATAAGAACAGAGAAGTCGACCTATGGAATCGAATAGAAGACCCAGATATTAACCCACAAACTTATGAACACCTAATTTTCGACAAGGGAGCTAAAGGTATACAATGGAAGAAGGAAAGCATCTTTAACAAATGGTGCTGGCATAACTGGATGTCAACCTGTAAAAAAAATGAAAGTAGATCCATATCTATCACCATGCACAAAAATCAAGTCCAAATGGATTAAAGACATCAACATTAATCCGTCCACTTTGAACCTGATAGAAGAGAAAGTGGGAAGTAGTCTACAAGATATAGGCACAGGAGGCCTCTTCCTAAGTAGGACCCCAGCAGCACAGACAATAAGAGAAACAATGAATAAATGGGATCTACTGATACTGAGAAGCTTCTGTAAAGCAAAGGACACTGTCAGTAGGACAAAAAGGCTGCCTTCTGACTGGGAGAAGATCTTCACCAACCCCTCATCAGACAAAGGTCTGATCTCCAAAATATACAAAGAACTCAAGAAACTAGGCACTAAAACTCTAATTAACCCAATTAAAAAATGGGGTACTGAACTTAACAGAGAATTCACAATAGATGAACTTCGAATGGCCAGAAGACAATTAAGGTCATCCTCAACCTCCTTAGCGATCAGGGAAATGCAAATCAAAACCACTTTGAGATACCATCTTACACCTGTCAGAATAGCTAAAGTCAAAAACACCAACGATAGCCTATGCTGGAGAGGATGTGGGGTGAGGGGAACACTCATCCATTGTTGGTGGGAATGCAAACTCGTGCAGCCACTGTGGAAATCAGTGTGGCGGTTTCTCAGGAAACTGGGAGTCAACCTCCCTCAGGACCCAGCAATTCCACTCTTGGGAATATATCCTAGAGATTCCCTAACATACTAAAAAAGCATTTGTTCTACTATGTTCATAGCAGCACTATTTGTAATAGCCAGAACCTGGAAACAGCCTAGGTGCCCCTCAATAGAAGAATGGTTAAAAAAGGTGTGGAACATATACACATTAGAGTTTTACTCAGCGGTAAAAAACAATGACATCTTGAATTTTGCATGCAAATGGATGGAAATAGAAAACGCTTTACTGAGTGAGGTAAGCCAGACCCAAAAAGAGGAACACGGTATGTATTCACTCATAAGTGGATTCTAACCATAATTAAAGGTCTTTGAGCCTATTATTCGTGATCCTAGAGAAGCTAAATAAGAAGATGAACCTGATGAAGATTATTTAGCTATCCACCAGGAGGTAGGAAATAGACAAGAGTCCCAGGTAACCTCGGGTGCATGGGGGGGTGGGAGGGTCGATGGAAGGGGAGAGGGTTAGAGAGAAGGGAGTAGGGGAGGAATGGGGAAACCTCGGTGGCCTGGGATGTGGGGGGAGGGAGGAAGGATGAATATGGGATCAGGGAAGAATATATTTCAACTAAGGGAGTCATTTTAGGGTTTACAGGAGACTTGATTATATATGGGATCCCAGGTCCAAGGAGAGATCCCCCAGATTGTTCTCTGGACAGAGGAGAGGGTGCCTGAATCGGCCGTGGCCCATAACCATACTGATGTATGTTTTGCTTATCACCATAGATCCTTCATCTGGCGAAGGACGGCGATACAGTCGGAGACCCACATTGGAGCACCGGATTGAGCCCCCCGAGGTCCAAATGAGGAGCAGAAGGAGGAAGAACATGAAAAACGAAATCAGTACTGCGAGGGATGCTATCACCCACTGATACAAGGGAACGGATCTAATGAGAGTTTACCAAGGCCAGTTGGACTGGGACTGAACGAGGAGGTGATCTAACCAGATTCTTGGAATTTGGCCGGATTCTCTGACTGTGGCTGGCCCGAAGTCTTTCTGAAAAGCCATTGACTATGATACTGGGACCTGTTTCCTCTGCATATACTGGATTTTGGGGATCCAGTCTGTTTGGACACTCACCTTCCTGGACCTGGAGGGAGGGGGAAGGAACTGGAACTTCCCACAGGGCAGGAAACCCTGACTGCCCTAAGGGACGAAGAGGGAGGAGGAGAGGGAGTGGGGGGAGTGGGAGGGTGTTGGGAAGAGGGGCGTAAATGGAAACTTTTATAATTTAATAAAATTTACTTTAAAAAATGCATCTGATATTTTAAAAAATTAATTAATTAATTAATTAAGATATAGAAAAAAATAGGCCTCCAATAGATGACATAACCCGGCATAAATCAATCATGACTTTCATTCATTGCTCAATCACTATGTAACATTCATTCTTTGCTCAGTCACTATGCAACATTCATTCATTGCTCAATAACTATGTAACAGACCCCACATAACATTCATTTTGGTGAGAGCTGCCTTCCCTCAAAGCAGGCACTTAGAGGCTAGACAGTGATTCCAAAGCAACTGCTAGATCAAAAAGTACATGCTTGGCTTGTGTGGGGATGCAGACCACACTGAAAGCTGAGGCATGTGAATCATATGTTCCAGGCAAAGTAAAACAAAACCAGTCTTCTTTGGGAAACCCCCAAGCAAAATTGAAATTGTGGTCTCTTACCTCAAACCAGAATTTGTTTATATTGACTTAACACTGAAACCAGTGGAGATGATGAAATGGGCAAAGCTGGACACCACTGAGTTACATGAAGCTAAAAAGAAATATTCCATAAACAGAAAACCAGAATGACCCTGTTCCCCAAAAGCTAAAAGAACTTACTGGACGATGTCCAAGAAGAGGTGACACATTCTGCGATATAAAAACAACTTTCCCATCTGTGCTCAATATAATTGAAATGCTTTCAAATGACTAATAAAGAGAATAATAACATAATTAAATAATGCAAATATAAAATGATAGCTTTATTTATAGGTGCATAAATATAACAGTATACTGAAATGTATTCTATTTCTTACATATCAATGAAGTAGGCACACACTTAATTAAAAGTCTTTTATTCTACCTACTACACAGAATCTCCTTAGCCTTAAGCACAAGATAGTTATCAAATAATGTGTCACTTAAACAAATTTCAATGAACACCCAATTAACACCTAAACTCTCCAACACAAGCTAGGAAGATTAATTTCTGTGTAGACTGACACATTTTAAGCATATTTAAGTTTTAAATGGCTAATAATTTTATTTAAGAACACTTTCAATTGTTCTTAGTCTAGTTATCTAGTTATAAATATGGTTACTGCCATTACTTTTCTTCTGTATAGTGGATTTGGTATACAGACAAATATTTCCTTGTAAAGAACATTTAAAATGATTTTTGTAAGCTACAAAACTGTTTTCAGAGTTGTTTCTATAAGTTTCATTAGTGCTGCTTACAGGAGCCTGTGAGAGGGGTTCTATATAGGTGTTTTAGTACATTTCCAGTGGTTACAGACAGAAGAAAATATCTTTTGTTCCCTTAGCAACCATTAATTTCCTAGAGATCCTTAAGAAGAGCTGAGGACTCATGAGCTACTCTTCCTTGGCTGCTGTTAACTATTTATTCTCAGGGAAGGGGTGCGGTCTCATGAAATCCATCTCCTCCAAGCTGTGATAGGAGAAGGGTAGTTGTAACTGGGAGGAGGAAAGAGATCAGTGAGAAGGGAAAGTGACAAGAGAAAGTAATGGGATACAAATTTGATCAAAATACATTATATAAATGTATGAAAAGTCCTAGTGAATCTGATTATTACATGCAATCAATATATGCTAATAAAACAAAGTTGTTTTCAACAGTAGGACCAAGCTCATAGCAAAGTAAGGGAAACAACATACCACAGACGACTATGAATGTAGGCACCAGGACATAAAGGGATGTTAGAGCCTTAGGAAACTTATCCATCATTGATTACTTAGAGCTTGGAAATAAAGTAAAGGTTTCCAAAAAGCTGCTATCTAGACCATGTGAAATGCCAAAAGGTTATTCAAAGAAGATGTGGATAGGTATGTGCCTGCCTCAATTCTAAGAGGAGCAGGACAAATAAACCTGGGCTCCCCTAGGAAGTACTAATCAAACATCCATATTCACTCAAATTTAGAGATGCAATCCAGACACTGCTTGAGTGGTGTTCAACAACTCCAATCTAATATTTAATTCAAAGAAGTCCTGGTCTGTAATAAAATGAATATTTTAAGGAACAGGCTCATAGAATTCATGCAGACAGATAGATACAAATAAAGGACCTTATGCTAAAAACAAACTAGCAAACACTGGGAAGGGCAATCTATTATACAAGAAGAGTGTATAGAAAAAATCAAATGCAGAATGAGGCTGAAAAGAAAACATTGGAATTTACAGACAAGAAAAGAGTGCTAAATATAGGAACATAGATAACAAGGTTTTAAAATTTTGAGTGACTCAAAACTGATCAGAGATGTGAAACATAAGCAACAGTTCTTTAAATGGAATTATCATAAACATATCAATTCAGTGACTGAGATTATAGTTCAGTGGCAAAACATTTCCATAGCATATGTGAGGCCCTGGGTTTCATCTTCAGCATAAAGGAAAAGAAAACATTAATGCAGAAGTAAAACTGCATGGTAAAACACAGGAGAGCTTGGGCATGTGGTTATGTTGGTAGAGTTCTTGCCAGCTGCATAAGGCCCTGGTACCCAAGCCCGGTAACAAAAATCAAAGCAAATATTAATGAAAAGGGACAAAAACTGAAGTCAAGACTCTGACTACAAGCTTTAAGAAGGAAATAGGACCTCCTGAAACTGAGAAGCTTCTGTAAAGCAAAGGACACTGTCATTAAGACAAAAAGGCAACCTACCAAATGTGAGAAGATCTTCACCAACCCCGCATCAGACAAAGGTTTGATCTCCAAAATATATAAAGAACTCAAGAAACTAGACTTTAAAATGCTAATTAACCCAATTAAAAAAATGGAGTACTGAACTGAACAGAGAATTCTCAACAGAAGAAGTTCGAATGGCCAAAAGACCCTTAAGGTCTTGCTCAACCTCCTTACTGATCAGGGGAATGCAAATCAAAACAACCTTGAGATACCATCTTACACCTGTCAGAATGACTAAAATCAAAACCACCAATGAGAGCCTATGCTGGAGAGGATGTGGAGTAAGGGGAACACTCATCCATTGTTTGTAGGAATGTAAACTTGTGCAACCACTTTGGAAATCAGTGTGGAGGTTTCTCAGGAAACTGGGAGTCAATCTCCCTCAGGATCTAGCAATTCCACCCCTGGGAATATACCCAAGAGATGCCCAATCATACTGCAAAAGCATTTGTTCAACTATGTTCATAGCAGCACTATTTGTAATAGCCAGAACCTGTAAACAACCTAGGTACCCCTCAATGGAAAAATAAATAAAGAAGGTGTGGCACATATATACTTTAGAGATCTACTCAGCGGCAAAAAACAATGATATCTTGGACTTTGCATGCAAATGGATGGAAATAGAAAACACTTTACTGAGTGAGATAACCCAGACCCAAAAAGAGGAATATGGTATGTACTCACTCATAAGCAGATTCTAGCCATAAACAAAAGGCATTGAGTCTATGTTCGTGATCCTAGAGAAGCTAAATAAGAAGGTGAACCCAAAGAAAAACATATTTATCCTCTGGGATATTGGAAGTTGACAGGATTGTCGGGCAGAAGTTGGGAGCAGGGGGGTGGGGGTGGATTGGGAGGAAGGGGAGATGGGGAGAGAGAAGGTAGAAGGGGAGGATTGGGGAGAGCTGGGGGAATGGAATAATTGAGATGGAGGAAGGGTGGATATGGGAGCAGGGAAGAAGTTATTCTAAGCAAGGAAGCCATTTTAGGGCTGGCTAGAGTCTTGGCTCTAGATGGGTTCCCAGGTGTCCAAGGGGATTTCCCCAACTAGGTCCGTGGGCAGCAGAGGAGAGGGTGCCTGAACTGGCCTCATCCTATAGCCACACTGATGAATATCTTGCATATCACCATAGAACCTTCATCCGGCATTGGATGGAGATAGAGACAGAGACCCACATTGAAGCACTGGACTTAGCTCCCAAGGTCCAGATGAAGAGCAGAAGGAGGGAGAACATGAGCAAGGAAGTCAGGACCTCGAGGGGTGCGTCCACCCACTGAGATGGGGTGACTGATCTAATGAGAGCTCACCAAGGCCAGCTGGACTGGGACTGATGGAGCATGTGATCAAACTGGACTCTCTGAATGTGGATGACAATGAGGGCTGACTGAGAAGCCAAAGACAATGGCACTGAGTTTTGATTCTATTGCATGGACTGGCCTTGTGGGAGCCTAGTCTCTTCGGATGCTCACCTTCCTAGACCTGGAGGGAGGGGGAAGCTTGGACTTCTCACAGGGCAGGAACTGCTCTTAGGACTGGAGAGGGAGGGGTAGAGGGAGTGAGGGGAGTGGGAGGGTATTGGGAGGAGGGGAGGAGGTGGAAATTTTTAATAAATAAATAAATAAAAGGTTCTGAAGGAATGTGAATACCTGTGTGTTGTCACTGAGAGGTTAAAAGAATGAAGTTGTGAAAAACTATATGGCCAGTCCTCAATATTAGAGGACACCATAGACTCTAGTGCTTCTACTTCAGAGCATACATAAGAAAGAGTTGAAAGTGGCACCACAAATAGCTCTGTTTACCCATGTTCTCAGCAGCATTATTCACAATGGCCAAAAGGTGGAAGAAATCTACTATGGTTTGGTTATGGCCCGTCCTCCAAGCATTCACATATCAGAAGCTTGGTCTGTATTGTACAATGTGAGAGGTGGTAGGGTCTTTAAGAGGAGAGGCCTAATGGGAGGTCACTGGTTATGCTCCCTCATTAGTAATTAATTAGATCTTATGGGACTGTGGTTAGTTTCTAATAGGTGGTTCTTACTAGAAAACTGGTGATCCCTCCCCACTCTCTGGCTTTCTGTCTTACAAATATGATTGCTCCTTCTCACATGCTACCTCCACTATGAAGCCAGTTTCATCAAAACGCCATCTCACAAATGACATAGTCAAGGGACCATCAAAAAAAGACACAGAATTTCAAACTTGCTGTTAAATAACACTCATTTCTCAGAAGGCAGTTATGCTCTCCACTATCCCACCAATACTACAACAAACCACTTGTCTTTACATAGCTCCCCAACTCAACTGTTTGATTTAGACACAGAGAAGAATTAACATATAGTCCAAGCAGCTGACAGATAAATAGGCCCTAAAATTGTAATATAACATGTAAGTGACGATTATTCAGCCTTTAGAGAGAATTCTGTCACCAGCTACATGAATGAACCACATAAATATTTTAGTGCATGAAATAAACCACTCCGGAGAAGAAGAATGTAATGTTCTATTTTATTACATAGATAAATCTGCAAAATAATAAAATTTGTAAAGAGAGAATGAAGAGCAAAATGTAAAGATACAATATAGATTTTTTTAAAGAAAATAAAAAGTCAATTATTTGAAAAGAACAATACTGGTAACAAACCTCTGATAAAGTGATTTGCATAGTGAAAAGCACATCCCTTTTAAAAATGTTTCTGCTTTATATGTATGAATGGTTTGTTCGTGTGTGTGTGTGTGTGTGTGTGTGTGTGTGTGTGTGTGTACCAGGTGTGTGTCTGGTGCCAGAAGAGGGCAGTAGATTGTGTCAGATGCCCTGAAACTTGAATTACTGATGGTTGTGAGCTGACATGTGGGTGCTGGAAATCAAACTGAGATCTTCTGCAAGAGTAGGCAGTGCTCTTAACTGTTCTTCTCTCCAGGACCACAAATAATGTTAAGAATAAAAAGTAGATATCATTACAGAAGCTTCAGCAGTAACAAATATGACTAGAACACATGACCATCAATTTTATGCCAGTAAAATTGAAAGTGATGGGATAGACCAATTCTTAGGAAATATAATTTACCAAAGATAACTCATGAAATGTAGAAGATTTAAATCATAATATAATCACTAAAGAACTGAACAATTAGTTTCACATAGTCTTTTATTTCCTGCTGTGGGTTGAGTGTATCATTACCCAAAGGTTCAGAAGAGAGGAGATATTTGTAGCATATAGCTAACAACTGACAAGTCCCATAATCATTATGTATTAGTCAAAACTTTGATGCTACTTTTATTGGTGTCAGGGTACTGAATGCAGGATTCTGCATATGCTAGGCAAGTGTGACTGAACCACACCCCCAGCCTCAATTGAAATTTTAAAAACTCCACTTTTTTCATGAATCGAAATAATGAAGGCAAGTTATTAACATCTCATAGAAGCTAAAAGATGGTAGAGGAGGGAAATAATCCCAGTTTCATTGCACACCCCAAAATGTTTGAATATACATTTGGCTTCACAAAACTTTTGACAGATTTCAAATGATACATTTTGAGACCTCTTAATAACACAAATTTCAGTATATGATCTCTAAACCAAATTTTCTTTTTAATGAAAATGCTTAGAAGGATAAAAGATGTTCCCATGTGACTTAGGTTTTCATCCAAGAATATATATCTTTATAACACTAGTTGTGTTGTTTGAAAGCATATGTTCTTCCAGCTATGCTTTGAAAAGTGCTGCAGTGCATCTAACATCAAATGTGATCCACATGTAAAGTAAGCAGTGATCAAAAGCACTCTTACCCGAAGAACCATCTTATGAAATTCCTCATAGGTTTTGAAAATGGGAACTTCTTTTCGGTCATAATTGTCTCTCATATTTAATGCTCCTTTTCAGGAAAGAAAGGATTATTGTATTAATAATAATTAGCAATTGATATTATATTCTGCAAACTTGTAATTTAGAAAAACCCATTTTATTATTTTGTGAATATATTGTGTGGGGGCATGTCCTATAGCTCATTTGTGGAGGGCAGGGACAACTTTTAGGAGTTGATTCTCTCCTGCCACCTATATGTGGATTCTGAGGATTGAACTCAAGTTTAACCACTGAGCCATTTTTCCAGACAGACCAAAGTTATAATTAATATTATCAAAAAGACTCCAACTGTGGAGTACCAATTCTCACAAAGAAATGATGGAATTGAAAATCACTCAACTTATAGGTTTTCTTTGGCTTCTGTCAAAACTCAGGATCCAAAATATGTCAAGTCAAGAGTTCAACACAGACCCTTACTACCAGCCCCAGGTAAAAACTGGAAGTCTACTCTTTTAATTTCTGGACAAAGGCATTTCTCTGGAGGATCTTCAACCTCAACAATTGTCACTGTTTTGCCTCCCATTCTTCTGGTCTTCTCAGGGAGCAGCACAGCTGATCCTGTCCTCTGCTCCTCCTCACAGCCCCACCAGCCCTCTTCCTTGACCTGAAGCAGTAAAGGAATTCAGCAATACACCCTCCTACCTCAGTGTCTTACATCGATAAGAAATAGCTCCTCTACACAACACACAAGAAAAAGAGAAACTCTCAAGGAATACAAGCCTTGTGCTGGGAGATTCTGACTTCAGGGCAAGAGTCTCACATCATTCCTTTGGACAATGTTCTGGTGGGTAGAGGAGGTCCTGTTTTCACTAAAGAGGCCATGAGGTGTACAGCATCAGGGCAGTGGAATGTAGAGTGGTAGCACCTTTAACCTTGTTGATGAGGGTTGAAGAAGAATGCAGGGTGAGGGAGTGGACAAAAGGACTAGCAAATATTTTGGGAGGTTTTCGCCACAAAGAGGACACAGAAACAGAGACACTCATAGAGGAATGCTGGGGTAAGGAAAATTGTCACTTCACCTAAGATTAGGAGAGTTTGATTATATGTTTATGGGCATAAAGCCATCTCATGTCCTTAACTAAAGTGTCCCATGATATAAGCATCATCTGATAGGTTCACATAAATGGACTTTATTATTTTTCATACATGTTTCTAGTAAGTTTCACTCTTGAACAAGCCTCAGGAATATTTTATGCATTGAACATAAAACAAAAAACCTCAAAGCCTTGTGAATGGATAGAAGCAAACTGCATACGCAAAAGTACTTCAAGGTCCCCTCCAACCAATACTCTATCCCTTAAGGCACTTGAAGCATGGTGAGGGCTGTGATGCTCTCAAGTCAGCAATGGCACACAGAAAAAGTGGGTCTAAGTCAAACCTTTTGGATTAGAAGTCGCAGCTGGAATGGTTGTCTGACATTTCACAGAGCGTGCTCTGGGTCTCTGTCTAGAGGCTCCATATCCAAGCTTTTCCATCATTCTCTGAAGTATATTCAGCAAAGAGTGAAGATCTGCATGTATTGGCTCATGGCGTGGATTAAAGGCCACTCTAATCAACAGAAAAATAAAGAATGATCTTTATGAATGGTAAGGCGGAGGGAAATGATTCATTCATATGGTGCCTCAATAGGAGGACTAAGATGAAAAAGACAGACTTTTGTATTAATTAAACATCCAGTGTCTTCGTTATGCAAAACAAAACTACCATGGCAGAATATGTCAGCAAATGGCCTTAATCCCAGTACTCAGGTGGGAAGGCAGGAGGATTGCGGGTCTGAGGTAAGTCTTGGAATAAATAGAAAGAGATACTCTTTAAAATAAATAGCTAATGAACAAGCAAACCAATAAATCATATTTCTATTTAAAACAATAAAGTGAAATTCAATGTTTTTGCCCTTTGTCTGAGAGGCTCTTAAAAGTGGATACCAATCTATTTCTGTCTTCCCAGCACAGCCCAACACTATGCCTGGTGTTATGGTTTGGCAATTACTTACGGTAAATTTAAATTAGCTTGAGTGTAATGACAAGTTGTTGGTATACATCTGTTCTCACCTACTTTAATACCAGTAATTCTGACTAGGTGTTCCAATGCAATTGAATCTGTAAGAATAGAAAACCCAAGAAAGAAACCAAATTTCTCTCGAGAATCATCCTTCTCTGGGAAAGACTATTTGGCTAGATGTGAAATAAGAAAATGGGGAAGGGCAGAAGGCTTTGCCATCTACATCAACTATGAATCCCTACCTCCTTGTCTTGTGATGTCGATATCGATTCATTTTTCTGTCAGGTATGGGTAGATTCTAAAACAAAATCAGACCAGTGTTTTATTAAGCAATCATATTTCAATAGTCTATAGCATATACCCATGCTATATCTATCACCTATCAACTTTCTATCCTCTATTTATTCTGTCTTCTCTACCTACAGTCTATCTTCTATGTGTTATCCCTCAACTATCTATCACCTGTCTTTTTGTCATCTATTGTCTATCATTTATTTTTTACATATCATTATCTATCTTCTCTCATATATAAACCTATTATCTATCTTCTATCATATACTGTATTTCTGTCATATATCATCCATTTGTCTTCTTGCTGTCAACTCTGTCTAAACTCTGTCATCTGTCTATATATGTGCATAAATCCATTCTGTATTTTCTATCAGCTATGCATTTATCAGACATGTACTTCTCATTTACCCATATAGTACCTATCTTCTATCCATCATCCATCTATCTACCATCTATCACTTATCTTCTATGGTCTATATTTTACACTATATATAACCTTTCTCATGGATTTATACTTAGCATCTAGCTATGCACTATGGTCAAGTCATCTTGTGTTTTCTCTTAGTTCACATCAACAATCTATCTATAACTAACCTGCATCTATCTTTCACTATTATCTTCTAGTTATAATCTACCTATTCTGTGTTTGCATTCAATGTATCATTTATACCTCAGTTATCCCATGTTTAATTTCCATCTATCACTGCTGAATTTCCTATACTGTATCATTCTCTGACCTGTTATCTTTCATCTATCATTCATTTTCTACCCATACTGAGTCTTTGTTCCATCTATTATCTTCCATTTAACTACTGTCTATTCTCTATATATCCTGTGTCTACTTTCCATCTCCCATATTTCTAAAATCTGTCATATACACATTGTGTGTCTGTATTCCATCTATGTCTTTCCTGTAACTCTCCTGTGTCTATGTACTTAGATACCCTCTAACTATCCTATGTCTATCTTTACAACTATCCTTTAGTTAGTTATCCTGTATCTATCAGGCATCAATGGATCACCTGTACTCTTATGCCTACTTAATCTCTATCATCCACCAATCAGTCATCTACCCTCTAGATATTCTGTGTCTGTCTTCAATATATCTGTTGTGTATCTTCTAATAATCTGGTGTCTTCCTTCAATCCAACTAGCGTCTATCTTCCATCTATCAATTCTTTACCTTCTAGCTATCCATTATCTATCCTGGAGATATCCTATCTGTCTACTACCTATTCTTCATCATATCACTGCCTTGCATCTATCTTCCATTTATCATCAATTCTTTAGCTATCCTGACTTTACTATACTACTGTTTATCCTCTAGGTATCCTCTGAGTATTTTCCATGTATCATTTATCCTCAGGCTCTCCCTGTGTCTATTTTCCTGTTATTATTTTTACCTATCTGTCATCTATCCTATAGGTATAGTACGCATTTATCTTCCATTTATTTGTCCTCTCACATCCAGATATACTATATATTCTAGCTTTCTGTAATATATCCTCTAATCATCCTTTCTATACCTTCCATTTATCAATAATCTATACACTAGAAACCATATGTCTAATTTCTACTCATCTATCTCCCAGTTATTCTTTTCCTATCTTCTGATATCTATCATCTCATTTTCCTGTGTCTCTCATCCATCTATCATCTGTCCTTCCTTCTATACATCATCCATCCCATTCAGTGTCTATTTTCCATCTACCTATCACTATTCTCTAGCTATCTTGTATGTATCTTTCATATAAATATACTTTAGCAATACAGTGTCTATCTTTATCTTCCTATGATCTATCCTTCAGACATGCTGCAAACATCTTTCATCTATCATCTATCCTCTCTCTATATGTATATTGTGTATATATTCTATATCTCTATCATGTTCCCTCTGGCGTATCTTGTCTACTATCCATCTAGCATCTATTATTGATCAATCTTCTGTCTATGTACAATCTTTACCCTAGCTATCCTTTGTCTTCTATCCTTTATACTTTAGCTCCCCTGTATCTCCCTTCTATCATTTTATCACCTATTCTCTATCTATCCTGTATGAAACACCTATCTGTCATCTCTCTAGTCATCCTCTGCCTCTCTTACATTAATTATCCTCAAAGCATCATCTATATTCTACCTATCCTGTGTCTATCTTGCATCTATATGTCACCTATTCAGTAGTGTCCATCTTCTGTTTATTTATTTATAGCTTTCCTGTGGCTATATTCCATTTATTTCTCATCTATCTTGTAGCTCTGTTCTTTATCTTCCATCCAACTAAAATATATCCTCTAACTATCCTTTGTCTAATGTGTATCATCTTCTTGCTATTTGAATCTATCTATCTATCTATCTATCTATCTATCTATCTATCTATCTACCTACCTACCTACCTGTCATCTATCTATCTTTTATATCAATCCAAAAACTCAACTGTGTATGTCTCCCATCTATTTTTTATCCTCCAGTTAACCTGTATTTACTGTCCATCCATCTATCGCCAATCCTCTAGCTATCATATATCTTCCACCTATCATCACATTGCTACCCTATATCTCTGTTCCATCTTTCTATCATCTATCTTTACCTATCACTTTTGTGTCTATCTGTCATCCAACTTCTAGCAATCCTGTATCTGTCTTCCTTCTAATTATTATCTTTTTTTAACCTATCCTTTGCTTTATTCCATCTATCTTTTTTCATCTAGCTACCCTGTGTCTCCACTTCCATCTAGCTATCTGCTACCTCCTTGGTCTCCTTTTCCTATCATTCATCTTTTTATCATCTTTCCTTCACTTATCATTTGTCAATTTTCCATATATCTGTTTTCTAACCTCTAGTTAGTCTGTGTCTGCCGATCATCCATGTATCATTATTCTTTAACTACCCTATACTTCTCTTCTACCTCTCATCTAACTTCTAGCTATCATATGCCTATCTTCAATCTTTTTAATCATCTTTTCTTTGTCTGTATGTTGTCTATCTTTCATCTATCTAATATCTATTCCGTTTGTCTTCAATCTGTCTATGTTCTATCCTCTGGCTATCCTGTGCCTGTCTTCCATCTATCCATCATCTATCCTCTAAATATTCTTTGTCATATACTTATATCATTTATTACCTAGCTACCCTGCATCTCTGTGATCTATCATTAATCCTATAGCTACCCTGTGCCTGTCTTCCATCTATTTATCAGCTATCCTCTATCTATTCTGTGTTTTATACCATCCATATATCATGTATAATCTAGTTATCCTGCATCTCTGTGATCTATCTATCATCAATCTTCTAGATTACTTGTAACTGTCTTCCGTCTATCTATTAGCTATCCTCTAGCTATCCTGTGTTCTATACCATCCATGTATCATTTATC